AAATAAGGGTCAAGTTCTTTTAGTTTTGGTCAAAAGGTTGATTTACATTTCAAAAAGGAGACCCCCTTAATTCTCCTTCAAGTTGATAAATTTAGGCTGGTCATTGTTTTCAGAAACCTATTCAGTTCCATTCCTCCTATCAAGCTAACGGTCCACACTTTGTAGCCTGCTCAGATAACAAGTTTCTTTGAAAACAGAAGACACATCAAAACTTTGTAATAGTTTGGCATAGTGGAGAGTTCACCAAGATGCAGAATTGAAAAAAGGAATGTTTTTTTTTTGCAAGTTCTAGTTCCTGTAACAGTTTCCTCATTGAGGAGGAGTCGATGATTTCCAAGAACACTGGCAGCTTTATATAATGAAATGACATTCTGTAATAATAAGAATTGTTATACTAAAGAAGAATTGTGACTAATAAAAAAAAATCCTCTAAAGTTCTTTTATATTATTCATTGTTTTGTGTAAGGATACACGTACACAACTGTGTTCAGACACTCCAAATGATGCTTGTTCAGCACTGTTTTTTTGTGTGCTCTGTGGAAAAGGTAATTTGCACCATGTGCTTGTAGATAGACTTCAGAAGCAGTCCAGCAACATGCATCTATATCAGAAGGTTAGTTGTCTTAAGATAAATTTATAAAGTAAAGTTTTATTTTCTCCTTAGCTATGTCTGTTCTTTCAAACAACTATGACCTAAGAAATATTAATGATATTATTATTGATTCCTTAGAAAATTATGTGACCATTAATTCTTTTTAAAAGACCAATTTTAGAGCAGTTTTAGGTGCATAGCAAGATTCAGAGGAAGGTACAGAGTTTGTCCCTATGATCTCTGCTCCCACAAATCATTAACTCTTTGTAAATTATTTTTAGCTATTAAAGAGGTACATTGCTTTTTTTTAACCCAGTATTTTATTGTGGAAAATTTTAAGGGAACATAAAAATAGAGTAGCACAATCTACCCCACATATCCATCATTCAGCTTATCATCAAATAATGGCCAGTCATATTTCTTCTTTATTGCCCACACCCTTGCTGCCCCTCACTAGATTATTTTGAATTACAAATAAAAAATAATAACAGTCTTCCCTAAATATCATCAAATAAGTAGTTACTTAAAAAATTTCCTAGTTGTCTTCTGGATGATTTGTTACAGTGGATTACATCTACATCTAAAGAAGAACATAGATTGTATTTGGTTGTACACTCTTTAAGATTCTTAATCTATATTTTCCCTCTCCTCTTTTATTTCTTTCCATTGATTAGTTGAAGAAACCAGGTTATTTGTCCTGTAGATTTTCCATCTGTCTAGATTTTACTGACTGCATCCTCTTGGTGTCATTTAACATGTCATGTAACATGCTTCTCTGTCTCTGTATTTCCTATAATCTGGTAGTTAGATACAGAAGTTTGGTGTGATTGCTTTTTTTTAAAAGAATATTTCATTGATGGCATTAGGCACTGTCATTATGAAGTACATATTCTGGTTCTTTTTGTAACTTTAGTAGCCATTGATCATCATTGCCTAGATGCACTACTGCATTAGGAGTTTACTAATTGGTGATCTTGTAATTGAATCATTCTTAACTTATTAGCTAGAATACACAACACACATATATAAAGAAAGAAATTTTCCCTATTTATTTACTCTGAAATATATTTCACAAAGAAGGGTAGACTAGATGTTTGTCTTTCCCTTTACTTGCCAGTTTTCACATGTTTTCAAAGGTGACCACTCAATTTTTTCTTTTTAGTATCATCATGAACTCATTAATTTTGATATATTATATGTATTTCAATATAGTTCAGTTATTCTTGTTGATACTAAAATTATGCCATATTTGGATATAATCTTACCCAGTGAGAATTTTCTCAACTTGGCCCCTGTGTCATTTTGACATGGCCCCAAGAGTTTTTGAAAGCTTATGTGCTTTATAGTATGACAAGAGGAGAATTTTGACTCATAAATTTTTACTATACATGTCATTAGTATCATTACTTACTTCAATTGCTACCCAATGTTGACATGATACCAATATTATTAACAATGTGATTACTGAAAACAGATTAAAATTTAATTTGACATGATTTTTTGTCCTTTGAACAAATTACTGTTTTTTAAAATCACTGACAAGTTCTTCTCTAAGCTAACAATTCAGTATGAAATTAAGTTCATTTGTTTCACTTTTATTTGGAAATTTAGAGATTGTTTTTATTTTTATTTAATTTTATTTATAACTATGGAAACAGTTACATAGTGTTAAAGCCAAATCTACAAAACACGATATATTCAGAAGTCTATTTTTCTCTCCTTTCCTTTTCACTTTATTTTGCTGTATTCCTCTAAGAAGGAATATATATATATATATTTGCCTGTATTAAACACACACATGTATTTACATCTGTAGATAAGTGATAGCCTACTATGTACATTTTTCTCTACTTGACTTTTTTTACTTATACTATGTCCTGCAAATAATTCCATAGCAGTATAAAGTGATATATTAAAATTTTTTACAGCAGCTCACAGTTCCATTGCTTGGATTTACCAGATATTATTCAATCAACCCCCCTCTTGATGAAGAATAGAGTTTACATCTTTTTTATAATATAAAGTTTTTATAATAAATATGGATGTGTAAATCAATTTATATCCAAGTGTATCTCTGGTAGAGATCCCTAGAAATGGAACTGCTGGGTCAAAGGGAAAATATATATTCAATTTTGCTGGTTTTGCCAAATTACCCTCTACCAGTGCTGTGCCATTATACAAAAACATATCTAAATGTACAGGGAAAGGTTGTATATGTGTATATATATGTTCTCATTTATAAAGGTCTATTTTCTAAGAAGCCAACTTGCTTCCACATGATTCACCTTTACATTAGAAACTTAACAGGAATAGAAACAATAAATATGTTCATTGTGCCTACCTCACAGTAGACATTAACACTTTTTCATTATAAGCTGTAACCTAGACATTATAAAACCATCTCAGAAAGTCACTAGTGTTTGGACTAGAGAATAATGAAATTTTAAAAATGTCATTTAAATACTTAGATTTCCTTCTTAAGTGAGTCTCAGCATGAATTGACATTATACTCCTTTGGCTTAAAGCTGTTGAATGATTCTCAATGAGATGATGGACAAAATCCAAAGTAACAGTCCTGAAAACTTAAACCACTACTCCTAAATCCGCTTCCCTTTATTGATATAATGAGGGAGAATTAATTTCATAAGGTGGTGACTATTGATTACTTAATGGCAGAAGATAGTGTAGAGAAGTGCTGAAGTGAGCCTATTCTGTGCCCTCCTGGGCAAAATGACCCCTATTACCCAGTGGTAGAAAATGTGCTGTAACCCTAATTAATATGTAATAGGAAGAACGAAGGCTTGATGTAGGTTACAAAACTGCTCTCAGCATAGGCTCCAATAGGCCATGAGATGTTTCAAGTATGTAAAAGGGAAACAGATTTCTCTGTATTCAGATTGTTTATAAGCAGGACTGGGCAACCTCGTGGCAATGCCTACTAGGCAAGTTAAAGTGATTAATAGTCTGAGAAGTCACTCTAGGTTAGACTGAATTTCCATGAGACATGGTTCTCAATTTTAGCCCTTTTCTTTCCCTTCTTTCCCTCCTCTTGCCACAAGCTGAAGGACTTGTTCAGCAGGGGTGGCAAGTCAGCAAAAGGCGTTAATTGTGTCTAACACAGCAGTCATCCTTGGGGTGATATTCTGTATCACACTGTCTATCAAGCTATCCCCTTGTCACATGTCAGGTTTTTTTATTTCAGCTCATTTAAAAAGGAAACAAAGAGTTTTAAAGATAGTTGGTGGAGAAACATGAGCATAAGAGTGCTTATAAGAATGAAGAGCCTTTTAAGCTGACTTGAACAAAAATGGGTTATGACTTCTGAAAGGACAACCCGAGGTTGTATAGATTACTGACTCCCATTATTAACTTTTCAAATTACCAGGTTATTTTTCAGTACCATCAGCTTATTTTGAAAAATATAAGCTTGAAATGAGATAAAGTACTTAAGATGGAGCATATTGTTGGGGTTTATGGGTACATAAAGGGCATAATATTGGATATTCGCCATTCCAAACAATGCATAAAATTAGATAGGAAATAATCAAGTTTTTGATTCAATGAATTCAAAGATTTTTAAAAATGTTTTTAGTAGAATAATTTACTTTGTAACATATTAGGTATTTATAATTACCTGTCTATAAAAAGATACATATGAATAAAAATTTAGCTTTCTGGCAAAACGTATCCAAGGGAACACATCTTCTATTAACATATTGAGCCTTTTCTCAAAACTCAGAGTGAATGAAATTGACCCAGAGGTCTCATTGTAATTCCACGTTAAATGTGGAAACATTCAGTTTTACTCCCAAGCTTAGACTCTGCAAGCCTAAATGCTGCTTCGATTTATTAATAAATCTATGTGTATACCTTCTTTTTCTGACATTAAGTATAGAGTGACAAATGATCAAGTTAGTAATGAGAAATGCATTTGTGTTCATTTTTGGTTTTTTGACAATATGATCTTCCTGAGGCAAATAGATCTACTCAAATGCTTTTTTTGTTTTGTTGTTATTTGTTTATTAGTTTGTTGGTTAATAAAACATGACATTCCCTCATGGAAATAAGTTTGTGGTTACCTCATTCCAAGAAAGTTCAGTTTAGAATTCATGGATTCTTCAGCTGCCATTCCCAAAAGCAAAAGTAACACCATAACACCATAAAAATAATTTAATAGACTTTCTTAACACTATAACATAAAACATATGAAGACATTTTAGCAACTATAAATATTATATTGTGAATACCAGTTATACCTTCAGGGCCATTAGATATTCCAAAGAAAAGTTTTTTGATCCTATATCTGCAAGAGACTGATGCTTATTGAACCATAATCTAATAAACTTAGCTTTACCAGTAGAAGATACAAATCCTAAATTTCCATTCCTTTACCTTTCCTATTTTACAGCGCAGCAGCAGTTTTGGGAATTTTGATCGCTTTCGGAATAATTCCTTATTAAAAGCAGATGATTCAACTGAGGTTAGTATTTCATTCTGTTTTTATGAATGTTATGCAAATATATTATGAAAAATTATGAAGCCAATATCACTTTTGCAAAGTCAAGTAAGAAAAATAAGTATATTTAGAAATCATAGTCCTGCGTATATTTTTGTGATAGGTGAACAAACAGTTATTTAGTGTCCAGTATCAAGCTGGACATTAAAAGTAAAAAAGCTACCTAAGAAGCCTAACAAAGTTTTGGAACAGGAAGAACATGAGCTTAAGAAAAGAGTTACAATTTAAAGTTGACACAGGCAATCCCAAATTTTCTGAGCATTTCCACCATAAACAATTTATATGTTAAATTTTATGTAAGCTGTAATTACTTTAATTTAGGTGATAATTAAATGGCTTAATAGTAAATTTGTTAATGAGGGCAAATGGTTGCTGAATTGCACTCTCACACTTCTACCGCATGCACTGAAATGTCTCATAGGTGACCGTCGCATACACATGTGCAAACCATGAATACTTTAAAGGAAGCTTAAGAAAAGCTCCCAATAAAATTAAGTTTGCATACTAAAAATAATGATAATAACAATATCTACATTTTATTGAGCACTTATTATGATGTAAGCTCAAGGCTAAATACTTTACCTACCTATAATGTAGAAATTATTAGTATTCCTATTTTACTGAAGAAGAAATATGTTTCACTGAGTAAAATAACTTTCAGTTAATAAATGATTAACGCAGAACTCAGCGTCTTGTCTGACTCCAGCGTTTGCCATTCAGTTATACTGACTCATAAACTATGAGCCTTCTTCATGAAGCCTAGACTTAGAGGGAGAGACAAATCTTTAAAAAGCGACAACTGTAAATAAGTGATTAATGAAAGGTATAACAACTAATAAAATAGTAGAGAGGAAGGATATATATTGAGAAAATTAAAAATATGTATTTATCATTAAACCTAATCCAGTGACCCTGTATGGGATACATTTGTTTTAAATCAGTAAGTTTTAGATTTTATGTACTTCTTATTCATTCTAGTTAGTATATCTTTATTTCTTTATAAAGAATTTTCCCTTTATCATATTTAATTTCTCTAGATACTTTTCAGATTCCCATATTTATCTATCTATAATATTTTTAAATTTTTTATTTCAATAATGGATATTCTGGACAAAAGAAATGGAAATAAAATGACATCTATTATTACTTTATAAATAACTCCACTAACACATATGCACATTTGTGTATAATATATCCCCTTTTATACATATGTATAAATTATGCATATATACATATTTTTCCCTTTTTATCCATCTATGTATTTATATACAAGTGCTTATGGATAAACATATATAGCTATATAGTCTTTCTAAACCTACATAATTTTCAATAAGATGTAATATGTATAAAGTGACAAGCCCTATTTAATTTTAGCATCTTCCATAAACTTTTAAATTTCCGTAATCATACATAGATATATTCTATTGTTTTTTAGTTTATAATTTGAAAGTTAAACTAAAACTAGCTCAGGCTCATTCAAGTTCATCGATTAGTAATGGTGGCTTAGTAATCTGTGAAAGAATTTAGTGAAGCTGATAAAGTAACTTACAAATTTTTCAGCAATCAACATTCATTTATTCAATAAATATTTATTGAATACCAACTATATGACAGGATATCCATTAGGCACACAGAAATTATTGTGAGAACTGATGAAAATTCTTACTTCATGAAGCTAGAGTTAGGGAGAGACAGATCTTTAAAAGGCAACAACAATCATAAATAAGTATCTAAATGCAATAGTGATTTTGGCTATGAAAGACAGTACAGAAAAACGTTATAATTAAAATATTTGAGGTAGTTTCTTTGAAGCTTCTTTAAAGAATGATAGAAAAACCTGAAATTAAAAATATTTGTGGTACTTTTTTGAAGCTTGACAATGGTAAGTTAACATAGGTAGTAAAAAAATAATACACTGTCTTATTTATTTTAGTTTTTAATTTTACAATGAAGATAGAGAAGATTTAAGAGAAGGTTTAAAAGAGAGAAGAAAAAGACAACTCTAAAATGTTTAAGTGTTTCCGAATTATAATTTATTCAGAGCTTTGAATTTAAAAAATCTTTGCCTTTATAACCTTGAATGTAGAAATTAATTAAGAGCAATGAGGGTTTAAATTGGCTGTCTATTCATATTTATCAAAGGCAATTTGAGGTAAGATATGAAGCAAAACATAATATTGATTAATAATGATGTTACCTATGTGGTTAATCCTTCGTATTAAAATATTCAAGTTCACTAAAGAGAAGTTTCCTATGATTTTTTACATTCAGGTAATGCTGACTTCCCACCTAACAGGAAAGGGGGGCAGTGCTAGATTAGAATACCTGTAAGGGTCCTTTCTTGCCAAGTCTGAGATATTAAGGATGTGTGACTCAAATAAGTCCTTCAAGAAAAAAAAATCACTCCAAAGTTCTGCATGAGAAACTTCACTTATTCAGAAAACATTGAGGCTCAGTTATGTTCCTGGAAGTATTCTAGACCCTCAGAGTAAATAAAAAAGATAAAATCTCTATTCTCATGGGACATACATCTTAGTGGAAGAAGCAAGCAATAATCAAATGAACAAATACATTATCAGGTAATGTTGAGTGCTTAGAAGAAGAATAAATCAAGGTAAACTTCCAGAGTATATGGACAAGTGTGGGCTCTTTTAAGTAGTATGATCAACCAGAAAATTTCCCTCCTACTACTTGGCTTGTGAGTAGAAACCTGGGTGAATGGGAGACATTTGTAGATATCTAGTGGAAGCCAATGGCAAAAGCAAGTACAAACCTTGATAAGAACATGAAGTAGAAACAGCAAGGGGGCTAGCATGAAAATACTAAATTACAGTCGTATTCAAACTTTAGCAAGTATCAGATTCGCTTGAAGAGTTTGTGAAACATGTGTTGTCCCCAGGTGATGGAGATGCAGCAATCTTGGGCCACATTTTGAGAACCACTGCTACAGTGGACAAGGGAAATCTAAGTAGTAGCTAGTGGGGAGGTAAGGAGTATATTTTATTTCACATACACTCTATGTAATGTAATATGCATTACATTATAATATATTATATTATGTCACATTATTTTATGTTATGTTACAGAACCTTGTGAACAAAGTTTTATTCTGAGACCAGGAGTCATTGGCTTTAACAAGATTTCTTAATAAACACAAGGCAGAAGCAGTCCAGATAAAAAATTTGGTTAGTATAGTGTGTGAATTACATGAGGATTTCTGTACTAATGGCTGGACCAGTTCATATTTACTACTGCTTGAGAATGTAGGAAATGTACATGTACACTCACCTGCAAGATGAAAAAAAAACAGTGTCTTGGTGGGTTTAATAACCTCCAAAATTTCTTTAACAATAACCATGACCATTTCCATTTCTTTAAGAAGTAAGAGGGTATCTTAATGCCTATTCAGCATGATAGGTTCCACAATCTTTCTAAAGCCTCCAATAAAATATCTCTCATCTAGGTAGACATAATCACTCATTATGCCTGGCATTTAATTCTACCTTGTCCATCTTAAAAATTGGAAGGACTAAAGTGGTTCTACTATTCAGCTATAGTATAACTCTACAGTTAACAAAACAGCTAAACTTCTCTAAAATATTTCAGATGTGAAGTTCAGGTCCTTCACCATCACCAGTTTTACCTTCTGAGTTTGTAACACATGTAAGCAAGTCTTGACAACTTTAAAAGTATGTATTATGAACAAATTCCTTGAAATATTGGAGAGTGCTGCACAGGAAAGTTTGCGGTCCACAAATTTGGAATCTTTTCTCTAACATTGTTTCAGATTGGTACTTTTTGTTGCTTCATAATTTTGTCTTTTGTAAACAATTCCAACTAGGTATGTGAAGGAGAGCCCATAAATGAAAGTGGAGAACAAAATAAAACTTCAAATAATGGAGGAAGTTTGGGGGAAAAAGTGAGAGCTATTTCCTGGACAATGAAGAAAAAAGTGGGTAAAAAGTACATCAAAGCACTTTCTGAAGAAAAAGTAAGTGCACTCTGTAAATCATTTGTATTTTTCTATTAAGCCGTTCTTATAATATCCAATAATTTCTTCTAGACAAAAATGTCCTTTATGGAGGACTTCAACATCTAGTCTTCCCTTCAATAACTGTGCCCAGAAGTTAGGTGGAATAAAGTATCATTACTATTTTAATAGAGGAAACTGAGGCTCAGAAAGATCACAAATGTAGTATGTGAAGAATAATAAGCCATTTGTATTGTAGCAAACATCAGTACTTCATCACTCTACATGGCCAAATAATATTTCATTTTATAGGTAAACCACATTTTATAATCCTTCCTCAGTTGATGGACATGTGGATTGTTTCCACTTTGTTCCAACCTACTATAAATAATGTTGTTATGAATATTTATATGCAAGTTTTTGTGTGGAACTATTCTTTCCTTTCTCTTGGATATATGGTAAATTTGTCTGATATTTTGGGAAACAGGCAAATTGCTTCCTAAAGCAGTTGCATCATTTTGCATTCCCACTAGCAACATCTGATGGTTCCAGTTTCTCCACATTGGTCGACATTTGTTATTGCCTGTCTTTTTGATGATAGACATCCTAATGGGTGTGAAGTGGAATCTCAGTGTGGTTTTGATTTGCATTTCCGTGATGACTAATGATGTTGAGAATCTTTTCATGTGCTTATTAGCATTTATATATTTTCTTTAGAAAAATGTTTATCCAAATCTTTTGCCTACTTTGTAATTGGGTTATTTGGCTTTTTATTATTAACTTTTAAGCTTTTAAAAATATATATTCTGGATGCAGGTCCCTTATTAGATATACGATTTGCCATATGATATATTTTCTTGCATTCTGTGGGTTGTATTCTCACTTTCTTGATAGTATCATTTGCAGTACAAATGTTTATAATTCTAATGTAGTCCAATTTATCTATTTTCTTTTCCATCACTTCTGCTTTTAGTATCATATCTAAGAAACATTGCTCAACTTCATGTTACAAAGGTTTACTTTTTTGTTTTCTTCTAAGAATTTATAGATGTAGCTCTTAAACTTTGGTGTATGATCCATTAACTTTTTCTATAGGGTATGTAGTAGGAATACAACTTCATTCTTTTGAATGTGAATATACAACTATCTCAATACTATTTGTGAAAAGATACTTATTTCCCCATTGTATTGTCTTGGTACCCTTGTCAAAAATCAATTGATCATAAATATATGAGTCATAAATATATAGATTTATTTCTGGACTCTCAATTCTACTGCATTGATCTATATGTCTATTGTCCATTCTCATTTCAACCCACTTCAATAGCACTTCTGTCCCCAATATTCCATTAAACAGTTGTCATAATCAGCACTGACCTCTGTGTTGCCAAATCCAATGATCATTTTTTTTTCTTCTTACATTACTTTTCTGCTGTATTTGATGCAAGTGATGATTTCATTATGTATGAAACATTCTCTTTATTGGTTTCTTTGGGCGTTCTTCTTGGCTCTGCTTTCTTTCATGTGCCTCTAAATATTGAGTCTTACTGAGGTTTATTCCTAGATGCTCTCTTAAATCTACACTCTCCTCCTAAGTCACCTCATCCAGTCTCATAACTTTGTTTCTCACAATTATAATTCTAATTTTGATTTCTCTGTGCATCTATTGTACTTTTGCAACCAACCAACTGCTTATTTGATATCACCACTTAGATGTATAATAGATATCTGGAACCTAATATATCCAAAACCAAATTATTGATTCTACAAAAACAGATTTGCTTTTTATCCAGTCTTCCCATAGCAATAGCACTGTCATAATTTCTAGATGCTGGAAGGAAGAAAAGATGAGAGGAAGGGAAAAAGAAAGAAGAAAGGTTTTTTTGTTCAAAATCCCTTCTCTCTCACTTTTCACAATTCATGATTATATCCTCTTTGTTCTAATTCCTAAGTATATTTAAAGCCTAAGTATAATTTCTAAGTATATCTAGTTTCTCCATGTAATCTATTCCTCTTTAGACTAAATAACTAACCTCTCTTGCCTAGATTACCATAAGAACCACCTAATTGATTTCCTTTCCTCCACTTTCCTCCATAAAAGCTAATCTCCTACTAAAAGCCAGAAAGATCTCTGAAAAGTAGAATTTGGAACCCCAGTTAAGATTTTACAATGTACTCCCTTACTATGGTTGGTTATTCCGGTATTCTGAAAAGCAGATACTGAGAAGGGAACAGACACACCAAAGACTTATTGGGGGAAATGCCTGTGAAGGATAAAGAAGAATGTGAAGGAAAAAGAAGAAATGGGCAGGAAAAGCCTCTAGATTACAGTGCAAGTCCTGACACCTATAAAGGAGAACAAGACAGGTCCAAGTTTCAGATTTCAATACTGTTCTGAGAAAGCTTTGGCCAGATTGATGGGGAGTCCTTGAACCAAAATTTTCCACTGAAGAAGCCCCACATCCCACAAATGGACTCAAATGGTACCCCCACTGTTTCAGTCATTGGCAGAGAGCGTGGTATCTGGGCAAGCAGTGGTGAATACAGAAGGGCAGCACTGGAGCTGTCAGTAAAGAAGGTTCTTGCAGCAAGAGATCTGAGTGGCACATTCCCAAGGCCCCCACACACTGTCTGTGACGCTCTTCCTGACCTGCCTCCAGTCTCCCTCTCTGAGCTCATTTCCTCGCATCCTCCTTTCTCTCACTCAACTCACGTTACCTCAGCCTTGTTGCTTTCCCCTCCATAACCCAAACACATTCTGAGTTTAGTTATTTCGTTCTTGCTGTTCTTTTTTAGGAAAATGTCTTCAAATCCTCACATAAATTACATCTGCTTATCATTCAGGTCAAGAATTCAGAGCATACATATTTTATAGAGGAATCATGTGGAAGCTCCTCCATCTACATCAGCCAACCTTCCCCTAATCCTAATCCCAGCAGCTAATCCTTTCATGTTACTCGGTTTCATTTCCTTCAGAACACTTATTCTCTGAAATTGCCTTGCTCATTTTGTTTACTCATTCCTCCTCAAGGTGTACACACACACACACACACACACACAACCTAGCACACTTAAATGTACCTCATTAGAGCAAGGATCCTGTTATCTTGTTTACCATGGCATCCCCAAGTCCCAAAAGAGTATGGGGTACTTAGATGGTGTTCTATAAACTTGTGTTTAATGACTGAATAGAAGACAGGAATGGATAAAAGCAGAGAATCATACGTATGAGTGTATATCATATGTATATTCTAAAGTTTGATCAATGTTTAGAAATGTTTAAAAATGAGGAATATTAAATTACATTTTGATGATTAAGAAAGTTATAGGTTTTGTCTAAGTTGTCTAAATATGGAAAACGTTTTAGGTGTTTTGAAGCAGATGTAATTTGTTTTGAAATTGTATGTCTTTCCTAATTTTATGCAAGATTTGCTTTTCACTTGACTAGATGGCGAGCACGGTATGAGATTTGTAAAGCTTCTTAGATAAGCTTGCTTTAGAATTGCAAAGTGTGCATGCTTTATTCATATCTAGTGATCTGGTGGGGTGCAAATAAATGACATGACACAACTATGCAGTTTAAACTTATAATACTGGATCTCAAAGGATTAGTAATGGTAGTGACTTGATAAGGAGAACACAAAGAAATCAAAATGCTTTAAGAGATAAAGCATAGATGTTAATAAATCTAGCATTTCTGATTAAATAGTAGAATATTCATCCCAATGTACAAAAATGAACCATTGTAATTTCAGCTGAATTCTATAATGTGGACTGTTTCATCTAAAGAATTTTTCCAAGTATACTATAAAATGTTTTGCTAGAAATTGGACTAAAGATTAATGACTCTTACATTTTATGCTGATGTATTCTTAAGTATTTTATTGCTAAAACATGTCTTGTTTGTTAAATCAATGCACACAGCGAACATCCCCACTGAAATCAGTCCTCAGCACTTACCTCTGATGTGTTTTCCTGAAGGATGAGGAAGATGATGGTGCCCTCCCATATCGGAACAGTGACCCCATGATTGGAACCCGCACAGAGAAGATCCCGCTAAAAGCCAGTGACTCCATGGACAGTCTCTACAGTGGACGGAGCTCATCAAGTAAGCCACAGAAAAAGGGACCAGATCCCAGATGGGAGATTTGGGTTAAGTCAATTAAAAACAATTTTTAAAAAATGATTTGCTTCTCTGGGGCTTGTTTATCAAATTAGCAGCAAAGTTCCAGCTACTTAACAGAAATAGTGAAAATGTATGTGTTGAATCCATAGAATTGCTGTTGATTACAATGATACATAACATATTATATAGAATTATGTATTATTTTGAAACTTTTCACACTCTAATTGTCAGGGCTCTTGGGATATGATTCCATCCAAGATCATTTTGTGTGATTAAATCTGCATCACTAAAATAAAATTGTATTCTGGGGAGAATTAGCATTATTTTGAGTCAAAATTTTTAAACTGATTTGAAGTATTCAAATAAAATCCTTTTCTGTCTCTTCTTTCCTCTCTCTTCTCTCCCACCCTCAGTCCTTCCTCTTTCCTCTCCTGCCCTTTTTCACTTTTTCCTTCCTTTCCTTCCCTTTTTTCCTGAAGCATTCTGAAAAAAGCAGGACATTTGCATCAGTTCTGACATTTACTTTCTAGGTCTCTATCCAGCACTAGTGAGTAACGAGTGAGTGACGTACTATGTAAATACTAATTTACATACTAATAGTAAGAATATCACCAATTAGGCGACAAAAGGAATCAGCACATGTTCAACAAGGATTTTTCTAAAAACATTGTTTCTAAGAAGAAAATCACTCAGATTTCAGTCACGCATCCTGCTATAATATTTGGATGGAATTATTGATACTGCAAGGTGCCTTATATAACTTTTTATATGTACACTGTTATATCCCTGTAATCTTTTTAGGGCTTTTAAAATGTTTTTTACAAAGTTTATTTTCCATTTCCTTTTAAATCAACTGCTTCTGTTATTTGAAGATGGATTGCAGAGACCAGATGTTCCAAATACCCTGAATTTTATTCCTTTTTTTCTATTGGCTATAGAACAGTTATTTTGTGAAAGAAAAAGCTAATGCAGAAACATTCAAAGGATATATTTTTGCATGTGTGAAATTTAGATTTCATTAGTATTCATTGCTGCTGTAAGTTTTAAAGTTCCAAGTTGTGATGCTGAATGTGGGTAGAATTTTATTGTCTAGACTGTATACCATGTAGAATGTACTGCAGGGCTAGGGGTAGTCGTGGAAGGGAGTGTGTGCAGAGATGGTGGCCCACTTAACTGTTATCATGTATAGTGTAACTTCTGTGATTAGATGCAACTCATCTTTCTTTTATACCAGTTCATATACAATGTGGAGCATCTTTAAAGGTCTTTAATTCCATAATTATTTGAACGAATGGTGGAGAAAGCAGGACTGTTTCTTCATCGAACAGAGCACCAAAAGGCCACACTGAAGGAAAAAGTGAAGACCGCCAAATATGTTGGGGAAATTAAGAGTTACTTCTGCTGGAAACTATTCTCGCTCCCAGGCAGGCCAGAAAAATTGAACCTCTTTTCTCATTTTCCTGTGAGGTTCAAAAAATAAGAAAGGCAGAGGACCACGGAATAAGGATTTGGAGCAGTTTAAAAAGCCCAGTTTAAAACGTTTCAAGACACTTGAGAGTACAGACAGAGGAGCATACTTCCTCCTTCCCTCACATGTGCACAAGCAAAAGGGCCACCTTTTATGTGTGAAGATGCTGCCTCAGAGTGGCTTTGCATTACACAATAGGAAGTCTAGAAAAGCATTCTGCTACACTGGGGCTAAGTTATAGGGAGCCTTGTAGTCTTATGCTTTGACCATTCCTAATCAATAGCACACAAAGATCAAACTGTTGTTATAGGTTTCTGTCTTTGTTTACATGTACAAAATTAATTATATGGCTTGTACGGGGAGTTAAGCCTATACTGTCTGCTTCTTTAGCAAGTGTCCAATGCTCCAAACATTTCACTTGCTACTGTATCAGATTAGGGAGACTGAAGTGCGAGTGTGTTTGGGTTAGTGATTGAGGAAAGAGTGGCCAGATTGGAGTGCTTAGAGAAAGGCTCAGAGCACATGAACGGCTCATAGGACAGAAATCCTTTAGAGAGAGTGACCAGGAGGCAGAGACTTAGAACCCCATCAGGAGGCCATCATCCAATGCTTCAGCCGTGTCCAGATGATGGTTCAAAATGTTAGGAACCTTAAATGAGAATTGTTAAACCTCTACTCTGTCTTCATCAGGTGGGATAACAAGTTGTTCAGATGGTACAAGTAACCGGGACAGCTTTCGACTTGATGATGACGGACCATACTCTGGACCGTTCTGCGGCCGTGCCAGAGTACATACTGATTTCACACCAAGCCCCTATGACGCTGACTCCCTCAAAATCAAGGTATGTGCACATCATATATTTCTGTATGGTTTATCTAGTGCAGTTGTACGATCTGTTTACAGAGGCACAAGCAGCGGGAACTGAGGAATGAGTGTGCTCTCTCCAGCAGAATTGGGGACTGGTTTACTGTGGCATGAATTTGAACAAAACATGTGAGGTGGAGTAGAGGGTCACTCTGTTGAGGCTATTAGCATAAGTGGCTGTTATGTATATAGTGAAGAATCACAGCCTATCAGGAGACAAAGAATTGTCTACATTTTTCTGAAGACCAAAAGCCTCACAGATTGCTACAGGTGTCCAGTTTTGCCTAATACTTACTGGGGTAACAACAGTGAAGCCAAGGAGAGGGACAAACAGTGGAGATAGCAGACAAGAGTGCAGCAGAGTAGAAGCCTTGGGAACCAGATTTGGCCAGGCAACTTCAGTGCTTAAGTTGGTTGCCATGCATAGACAGACATCTTTCTTCCAGTGATATTCCCTCTCCTTGCTCTTATCCACTGCATTCACTTTCTAGAGCAACAAATCACCACAAATTCAAATTCAGGGGCTTCAAATCACACAAATGTATTATCTCAGTTCTGTAGTCACATGTTTGGGTATGGTTCAATTGGGTTCTCTGCTTAAGGTCTCACGAGGCTGAGGTCAAGGTGTCAGTTGGAACTGTGATCTCACCTGAGGCTCAGGGTCCTCTTCCAGGCTCACTGGCTATTGGCAGAATTCAGTTCCCTATGGTTGTAGAAACCAAGCTCCTGCTTGGTTGCTGGGTATCAATGGGGGCCATTCTCAGCCCTTGATGCTGCCAGCCGTGGTCATCTCTGTAACTTGGCAGTTTGCTTCTTCGAGGCCTGCAGGAGAAGGACTCACTCATGCTTCATATCTTTTAATTTTTTAAGCTCCTCTACCTGATTAAATGACAAACAATCAGATAATCTCCTTTTTAATTACAAAATTAAGTAATTTGAAACATTAGTTATATCTGCATAGTCCCTTCTGTTCTATAACAGCATATTCATGGATGATAAACCTATCATTTTTGTAGTCCTGCTTACACTAAAGGAGAGGAGCTTACACACAGTAACACAAAGAGAAGGTTTAGTGCTAAAATATTTCATAGATGTTAAATTATTCCTTTTAGTAACAAAAAGTACTACAGCTTAAAGGATCATTATAAACTTTCTATACTGTCAACACCAAACCAACGTTAACCAATCATTATAAGTTAATTAAGGACTGATACTATTAATAACATTTAAGGCACTCAGCTCTTCTTCCTCTCCCTTGTATGGTACCAAATCAATGTAAACTCAGCTGGAGAATGAGGAAGCCACCGTTCCCCACACTTAGCTCCTTAGTCGTTCCATGACAAGGTTTGAAGTCTACGTTTAAGTCTTGGGGAAAGGATGACACTGTAGCCTAATAACCATTGTTGGGGAAGGGCAGTAGAAGGGAGTACACTGAACACATTTTGACTCAGCACTGCTTTTCATCTTCCCAATACCACACCAGTGCACCTCTGCTGGTGCTAACTAGGGTGATGTTTGTGGAGCTCTTGTAGGACACAGTAAGAACCCCTCAGTTATAACTGGAGATTGAATACTATTGTCTCCACCAAGAGGAATTTCCAAAATGAAATTGGGTCTTTGCTTGGTGACCCTTGGGCCTTCCTGGAATGCATACGTTTTACAAATTCAAAGGATAATTGGAAGAATGCAGAGGAGAGCTGCCATGCTTAGTACATTTCCCCTTGAGTTTTGGGGAATTTTCCAGGTCTACTTGGCTGATCCCACTTAGCCCAGGATTTGATTCCTTATAGCTAAAGGCAAGAAGAATTAGGTGAACAGCTCATAGGGTCAGACAGGCAGACAAATCACAAGTCAGAAAGAACAGATCTTTTAATTGCATTGATTCCACTATTACAATATAGTATGTGTTTTAGGTGGAAGTCTACACATTAACAGAGCAGCAACAAAAATATTTTAGTAGCAGATTTAATGCACCATTTGTTTGAGAGCATACCCCAAACATGGAAAAAAAATATCAGAATCTATGATGTTCTTTCTAGAGTAGGAAGTTATAAGTCTCAAAGGAGTAAATATGACTCTTAAATGTAGTCACTGTATTTGCATTGAAGTCAGTGTTCTTCACAAAGAAACACCACTGTGGGATTTTTTAATCTTGATAATAACCAACAGCCTGTTGCTAATTAGAATTTTAGATGTGAATAAAGAAAAAAAGACCATTGGTTTATCCATTCCAATGTGGTTCATTCATATTTCAATTCAAACTCTGCTATGGAGCTCAATCTAAACATTATCTTCTCTAGAATAATGAAGTAACATAATTTATCCTCAGTGCACATGTACTTTTGTTAACTAGTTTGTATACAAATATTTTTGAACAGTTTCATTATTTTAGGTGGACTCAATATTTTAGATGGATTTATTTTATATTGTCTTTAGATTAATTTTTCAGATGAACTAAAAGCATGGACAGAGTCACAGACTTATCTTTCTTCCCCGTCCACATTTGGGAGCCCCTCCCGAAATGATGGCTTGAGCTTTACCACATATATATCGCTTTGACAGGATGAATGAAAAGAGCGTCATTTTTGAGTTTAGACAACTTAGGCTTGAGGTCTGTTGATGCTATTAATTTAACTTCTAAAGCTCTTAGAAGGACTCACTCATGCTTCATATCTTTTAATTTTTTAAGCTCCTCTACCTGATTAAATGACAAACAATCAGATAATCTCCTTTTTAATTACAAAATTAAGTAATTTGAAACATTAGTTATATCTGCATAGTCCCTTCTGTTCTATAACAGCGTATTCATGGATGATAAACCTATCATTTTTGTAGTCCTGCTTACACTAAAGGAGAGGAGCTTACACACAGTAACACAAAGAGAAGGTTTAGTGCTAAAATATTTCATAGATGTTAAATTATTCCTTTTAGTAACAAAAAGTACTACAGCTTAAAGGATCATTATAAACTTTCTATACTGTCAACACCAAACCAACGTTAACCAATCATTATAAGTTAATTAAGGACTGATACTATTAATAACATTTAAGGCACTCAGCTCTTCTTCCTCTCCCTTGTATGGTACCAAATCAATGTAAACTCAGCTGGAGAATGAGGAAGCCACCGTTCCCCACACTTAGCTCCTTAGTCGTTCCATGACAAGGTTTGAAGTCTACGTTTAAGTCTTGGGGAAAGGATGACACTGTAGCCTAATAACCATTGTTGGGGAAGGGCAGTAGAAGGGAGTACACTGAACACATTTTGACTCAGCACTGCTTTTCATCTTCCCAATACCACACCAGTGCACCTCTGCTGGTGCTAACTAGGGTGATGTTTGTGGAGCTCTTGTAGGACACAGTAAGAACCCCTCAGTTATAACTGGAGATTGAATACTATTGTCTCCACCAAGAGGAATTTCCAAAATGAAATTGGGTCTTTGCTTGGTGACCCTTGGGCCTTCCTGGAATGCATACGTTTTACAAATTCAAAGGATAATTGGAAGAATGCAGAGGAGAGCTGCCATGCTTAGTACATTTCCCCTTGAGTTTTGGGGAATTTTCCAGGTCTACTTGGCTGATCCCACTTAGCCCAGGATTTGATTCCTTATAGCTAAAGGCAAGAAGAATTAGGTGAACAGCTCATAGGGTCAGACAGGCAGACAAATCACAAGTCAGAAAGAACAGATCTTTTAATTGCATTGATTCCACTATTACAATATAGTATGTGTTTTAGGTGGAAGTCTACACATTAACAGAGCAGCAACAAAAATATTTTAGTAGCAGATTTAATGCACCATTTGTTTGAGAGCATACCCCAAACATGGAAAAAAAATATCAGAATCTATGATGTTCTTTCTAGAGTAGGAAGTTATAAGTCTCAAAGGAGTAAATATGACTCTTAAATGTAGTCACTGTATTTGCATTGAAGTCAGTGTTCTTCACAAAGAAACACCACTGTGGGATTTTTTAATCTTGATAATAACCAACAGCCTGTTGCTAATTAGAATTTTAGATGTGAATAAAGAAAAAAAGACCATTGGTTTATCCATTCCAATGTGGTTCATTCATATTTCAATTCAAACTCTGCTATGGAGCTCAATCTAAACATTATCTTCTCTAGAATAATGAAGTAACATAATTTATCCTCAGTGCACATGTACTTTTGTTAACTAGTTTGTATACAAATATTTTTGAACAGTTTCATTATTTTAGGTGGACTCAATATTTTAGATGGATTTATTTTATATTGTCTTTAGATTAATTTTTCAGATGAACTAAAAGCATGGACAGAGTCACAGACTTATCTTTCTTCCCCGTCCACATTTGGGAGCCCCTCCCGAAATGATGGCTTGAGCTTTACCACATATATATCGCTTTGACAGGATGAATGAAAAGAGCGTCATTTTTGAGTTTAGACAACTTAGGCTTGAGGTCTGTTGATGCTATTAATTTAACTTCTAAAGCTCTTGGGAAGTTATTTAATGTTTGTGTATGCAAAATTATTTTATAATTTATGTTGTGCTCTATAAATATAAATTGGTAAGTTGATATGATATAAAAATCATAAGCATGTCATCAAATGCATGTAGGAAATTTTATTCAAGCATGTTGAAGTTCTCTTCATTATTATTATTAAGTAGTTTCCTTGAAATTTCTACTTAAATTTATTTCTGTTATCTCTGAACCCCCTTAGCATATGCTCTCATTATTCTTATTTTCTGTGATTTCATTCTTTCTACCAATTGTTATAGCACCAGAGTTCTCTGAAATCTGATTTGTGTCTTTCTTTGTTCTTAGAAAGGAGACATCATAGACATTATCTGCAAAACGCCAATGGGAATGTGGACAGGAATGTTGAATAATAAGGTGGGAAACTTCAAATTCATTTATGTGGATGTCATCTCAGAGGAGGAAGCAGTCCCCAAGAAAATGAAGGTGCAGCGAAGGGGTGGAAAGGAAAACCCTAAGACTTTGCAAGAGTTCTTAGAGAGGATTCACCTTCAGGTTAGTAAACCTGTGGCCTGTTTAATTTTAGTGGTGTATAGATGGAATGATTGAGGAGAATAGTTCAGTGTTTGTATAGTGTTGTTAAAAAATATGACTTACAGCAAAGGAAAATCTGTTTTCCAAGAACAGTTCTTATTTCTCTTTATTACTTTTATTATGCAAAGACAGATCTTGATATAACATCCCTTGGACTAAAACCTAATGGTACTTAGCAATGACAGTAGAGATTAATGCTCAGAAAGTGCAGTGAAAAATGAAAAATACCTATGAGAACAAAAGGCCCAGAGAAAACATCTAAATGATAATGATGAAAAGAGTATGAAAAGTGAAGGTAAAAATCCAGAAAACTGAAAGGAAAAATGAAATTTTTATTTTTTGTAGGGCAGAGATCAAAATCAAGTCAAGAGAATATAACTTAGTAAAATTGTTTTAAAAGTAATTTTTTAGGAAACAGTGATCATTCTGCCCCCATAATGACTGTGTTAAGGAAGCTATGTTGTCCATATTTATAATCCAGTTTTCTACTTGTTATATTAGCAAAATATTTATGAAATATCTACCTTGTTAAATTGTGTGTATACACAATACACGTATCCTCACCCAATTTACTGTTTTGCAGTCCATTTCTAAAATTAATGCAGCAGTACTTTAATAGTTCTCAAAACTGATCAAGG